CAGGTAACCCTTCTTGCCTTTGTTTTAAACTAAACTTCAAACTTTAAACTAAATTGAGGCACCACAAGCATGCAACACATTGAAATAAAAAGACTTATTGGAAAAAAATGTAAACATAATTAAGTATAAACATTTAAGAGACACAAATGCATCTACAAGTAAAGGAAAAACAATTAATAAATATGTAAAAAGCAGTAAAATTTACATTATGTGTTAAAATATAGAGACCAATTTATTGAAACTAACCTGGAAAAAATAAATATGAAAGTCAATTCAAATATAAAACAAGAGATAAAGTTCAATAATTGGTGCCTGTATTTGTTTAGTGGTTAATTTATATACAAATTCTGCTTTTATTTCTAATTATGTCAGTKTTGATCCTCCATACAGCAGATGTCTGATAATCATATATTCATTGAAATCAGGTGTGTTGGAGCAGAGAAACAAGTAAAACATGCAGAGCTGCGGTCCTCCAGGTCCAGGATATCCCACCCCTTAGGTAAATAAAGTTTTTTAATTAGTGATCTAAAGCAGGGAGCCACTATGTTTTAGAGAAGTCTGCTCCAACACACCTGATTTGAATGAATGGGTGGTTACCAGGCTTCAGTCATTAAATCAGGTGAATTTAAGCAGGAAAACAAGTAAAACATGTAGGATAGTGTGACTAGAATAGATGCACCTGAAATTTGTTTGTGATTCACCATTAAAGCAGAAGAATAAAACTAGGATAAACATTCCTGTTCTAAAGGCACTGTATTCGATATAAAAGGACTAACCGCCCCCTTTTGTCTTAGCTAATATCTTTCTGCAGCTTCTGCTCAGTGCAGTGAAGAGAGCTGTTATTTTCAAAGAATTTTCTGGTGATGGACAAACATGCATCAGGAAACCTCGCTTGGAGAAGGGAAACCTGAGGCACCTCCCTGGAGTCAGGTCCGCACACAGTGGGAGCTTCTCGGCAGGTGCCCACTTGGTTGAGCCTTGGCCCATGGAACTGAGGTGGGCTAAGCCCAGAAGAAGAAGAAAGACAGGATGCCAGCTCTGTGTGGGCCCACCACCTTGAGGACCATCAGAGTCCAGTACCATTTAGGGTAAGTCCCTGACCGTACAAGTGAAAGGAGAGATTTCTATTAATTGTTTGCCTAATCTTTGTGATGGGAAACGCCTGGGCAAAACTCAGTTAAAATCGTGTTCTTACAAAAATAATGCTGATCTTCACTACGTGTGTCTCTGATCTAGACGTTAACATCTAGAAATAATAGCTGAACTGTTGCTCTTTTGTCTCACATCTATTGTTTGATGTCAAACCTGAATATTTTCAGTCTACAGGAAAAGGAAAGTAATAGGCCTCACTGTTGCAGGACTTTAAAAGGGGAGTGCTGACATTGATTTATAGCACTAGATGGCACTATTGCTTTGTTTAGACAAATGTTGGATGTGTTTACATGTCAAAAGAAAAATGAATTTAGTTCTTAAATAATTAATATTACAAGAGGGGTTTGTATTTAATTGATTATTGCACTCCTGCTTTAATATTAAATTAATTTGTCCATTTCTGTTTGATCGGTAGTTTAGATTGTATTTGTTCCAAAACGAGCAAAAATGATTCAGGACATCTCAATGCCAGAATAGAAGACAGCTAGACGTTTCGTATTTCTTGAATAAGAAATGGAACGTAAGCTCTTAACTGTTTTTAAAGCAGAACAAAAATCAGCTATATTATTACTTTTTACAAGGGGCTTTGTTTTTCTTTCCAGAACTTTGTCTTTGCAGAGTCTTCTGTTTTTTTTAATGAAAGTGTGTAGTCCAAGTCATCAAAGATTCATTAGTCTAAACAAGGCTGATGTAGTCAACTGTAAAAATCCCCACAACACAGCAGGTTGTAGCGCCATTACAGCACAAATGACTTCCGAAAAACCATTTTGGAAAAACCGCCATTTAGTGACTTCCTTTAGGATGCCCGGTTGCTCCTGCCCTATTTTCATATAACCTAATGTGTCTCCACCAAAAGACAAGAAGAGGAGAGGAGAGGGTTTTTAGTGACAGTGTTTGTATTCAAGGTCTCTGACTGCATTTCATCTGATTTAGCAGCATATAAGGTCATGAAATATTACAGAGTCATAAAAGCCACGGCATATCTACTGCCCTGTTCAGAGCAGGGCGAGTCAGGTCTCGGTGGACTGTGTCACAGTCTCTGACTTCCTCCACACAGCGAGGGCCATTAAGTCAAACTATCAGGCTTTATGCTTCCCCCACTAACTGTATGTAGAAAGCAACAGAAAAATACTTTGCTATTGTAATTTGTAGTCGGGGGGGATTATTAGAAGCTTGAGCAACACAAAATCTCTGTAGCTTGTTCATAACAAGTAGTAAATTTTACTAATGGCTCCATTGTGAGTTGTAAGGGGGGAAAAAGTGTTTTGATTTCATGAGCGGTGTTTACACTTTTTAAAGGAAGTCAGTTTTATGATTTGAATTTAGTGTCGGCAGAGTTTATTGCACTGTAAGGCCTTTCCTCATCGGCTTCATGTTTCAGAGGCTCCTACATCATTATTTTTATTTATTTATTTTTTAAACCTGTTTAAGTTTCATTAAAGAAAAGTGGGAACAAGCCTTTTTACTGTTGGACTCGTTTCATGAAGCAAAAATTGCACCAACCGTTTCTTTAACTTCAATCACTGTCCTCACTTTAATCATCTGAACATCCACTGATTATCATCCACTGCTGAAGGATGGAGTGATACTGTTTTGTCTCATGTTGGCGTGTGTTTGTGCAAGTCTGTCCATTTGTTAAAAAAACAGATTTTAATGAAACTTTCAGAAACAAACTTGTTGAACTGACCTCGGTTGAATAACTTTTGGAGGAAGCTTGGTTCGACATGGCTGCTGCAGCAAAGCAATCTTTGCAAATGGTTAAATCCAGAATTGTAAAGTACAAATTGTTACTGTACAGAAGTAGAAATGTTGATTATCAGTACTTTAGTTGAGTAATTATTTTTCAGCCTACTTTTTACTTCTACTCAATACACAATAACCTGTACTTTCTACTCATTACCATTTTTTAAAATGGGTAAGAAGAAAGTCATTAATCCTATTTCATTTTGGCTTGTCATTGTTTAAAAAAACAACTATCCAGATAAATTGTGCTTTCTGGATAAAGTGAATTTAACTGTGGTTGGATGATAAGTACATACATACCGTTCTGACACCCTATTGGTTTGCACATGATCCAGCTCAGTCACATGACACAAACCATGTCACACTCCAGCAGGACATAGCAGACATACTGTATGTAGTCCAGTATATACTGTAGATGACCATGGAAGATATACAGTATATGCAGCTAAAATGGGAAGACTAGTGCCTCCCAAATTTTTCAACATTTACATTTTATTATGACCTTATAGTCATTTCAGCCTTTAAAGATGTTGTTTGGGGAGGTCACCTACCAGTAAATGTAATTTTGAAAATTCTAATCACTTACTCTTACTCAGTACTTTAACTTTCAAAATGTATATGCAGTAAGTATTAGATACTTTAAGACCAATACTCAAGTAATATTCTAAAAGGGGTCTTTAACTTTTACCAAAGTAATTTTATGGTAAGATACTTTTACTCAAGTATTACTTTAAAGTACTTGATCCTTCAAAGGTGTCTTCTTGTTAAAGCGAGTTTTTCCTCTCCACTGTCGCCAATGTGCTGCTCAGGATGGGAGACTGACAGTGATTCAACACAATCTGCTTACTTCCTTAGATTTATTGCTTTTTGTGTACACTGCCCTGAGATATTTGTTGTGACTTGGCGCTTTATAAATAAACTGAATTGAATTGATACAACACTGGCTAAATCTCAGTCAGTTTCACAGAGATTGAGCTAAAATCTGGTCTGGTAGTAGCTGAGACTCATTCCTAAATGAGCACTAACTGCACGAGAGCTGTGTGTAAAATGTAGCCATTAAATAATGGGGTAAACTCTAATGGATGTCCACTGACTTTTGGAGTTGATCCAATTTCAGATGGTCAGCGCAGCTAATTGACCTTAGGCTACACATGAACGATTATACCTCAGTAAATTTTATAGATACTGAGCTTAAATTTGGTGCGACAGTAGGTGAGTCATTCACAACACATACAAGTTCTAACAGATCACAAGATATCATGAAATTGTGTAAGATTTAACCAAGATAACTATAACTGTCCTTTTTCAACACAAAATGAGTATAAATATTGGCCTTTGTTTTCTGGAAATGTTTTACAGTGTCACATTTTCTTTAAAATACCAACACCAGGGTTCGCATTAACAATGTGATGGTATATAGCTAAAGGTCATGCACATAACCCTCACAAGAAAAAAAACAAAACAAATGAATAGTCTGCGAGGGAAATAAACCCTTACAGCTGTAATGAAATGTGTCACTGAGACGGCACTGTACCTGCCTTGAGGGAAGAATTAAACCTGCGCAGCGAAGGTCTGCTGAACCTTGTCATCCTATGCAATGACCCCTGCAATGTCTACTCTTTTTAATGCCCCTTCTGCCTTGATAGAAGCCCAGATTTAATTCTCACACTCAGATCCGGTGGCTGTAATGGCTAGGTGCTCGAGAATATTACTGCATGCCCTTGGGGAGACATTAATCAAGGAGAAATGTTTATTTTTAAGTTAAGTGCTTGTGTTTGCACCACCTGATGCTGTGTGTGTGTGGTTTTGTTGTGCATACCCGTGTGATTATATTTTAGCTTTGCTGTTGGACGAAGAAGTCCTTATGTCCTCGAAGTGTTCCAAGGTTTTTTGTTTTTTTTTTTGTCCTCTAAGTGTGATAGAGGCATGGCTGCATGACTCGGCTCCTGCTCTGGTGGCAGCACTTATGCTGTTCTTCAAAGTGACATCTCTGGGAGGGACCTTTCACCATATGCATCACAGTCTCATCAAGTGTTGCAGTGTGCCCAGATTAATGGGGCTGAGAGCTGATTATGCAGGGCTGTACATCATGTCTGTCTGCTGCCTGCTGCTCTTCCTGCCTGTCAATGATCCACCCGATTACCTTCCATAGAAAGGAGGAAAAAAAAAAGATGGTACCTTTGCTAAAGACTCCTGAAGTTTTTCAGCAGACTCGTGCAATTCGATAGTTTGATGAAACATCCACTTTGTCCTGAGTTCTTTACCTACTTTCAATGTCACCTGTCTGCTACTTGGCCTTTGTTCATTTGTAAAAACACATCACTCATAAATGAAAGCTTACTCACAAGATCTGTTAGTGCTCAAATTATGCATTTAAAACGGCTCTCATCAAACTGTAGCCCAGTATCTGTAAATTTGACTGAGTTAAAGTTGTTTTAATGGTAACTGAATTGAACTGAAAACCAGTTTAGATGTGCAGCCACTGCTTACGCTGCAAAAAAATGTCCATCCAACCAAGTTTTGAAATCTTATATCCAGGAAAAAAAAAAAAAACACTTTTGGATCTTGTTTTGAGACTGATTTACGAAACAAAAACAATACGTGTAAGATTATTTATCTTGTTAGCCTGAAAATTTGACTAAAATTAAGTGAAAAAAATTCTGCCAATGGGAGTCAAATAAATAAATAAATTTATTAATTAATTAAAAAAATACTTGGTAAGATTATTTTGACTCAAATGTCTTATTTCAAGAATCTTACCAAATAAAATTTCTTACTCTGTTGGCAGAATTTTTTCATTTACTTTAATCATGTATAATACTAGAAATTTAACTCTTATCGTGTGTGTGTGTGTGTGTGTGTGTGTGTGTGTGTGTGTGTGTTACTCGGGTTATTGATGATTCAATTATTTTATGCTTCTTAATCTAAAAAAAATGATCGTATTATACACGAGATCATATTATACATGAATAAATAAGGTAATTTGAATCAAATTTTCAGGCTAACAATAAACAATTATTCATCTCACAGCGGGTAAAATAAGTATTGAACACGTCACCATTTTTCTCAGTAAATATATTACTAGAGGTGCTAATGACATGAAATTTTCACCAGATGTCGGTAACAACCCAAGTGATCCATACATACAAAGAAATCAAACCATAAATGTCCAGAAATGAAGTTATTTGTAATAATGTGGAATGACACAGGGAAAAAGTATTGAACACATGAAGAAAGGGAGGTGTAAAAAGGCATGGGAAGCCAAGACACCAGCTGAACTCTCTCAGTAATTAGAAAGCAAGCCTGCCCCTTGTCAGTGCAAGTTAATATCAGCTGGTTCAGTCCCAAATGATGGCCAGGTATCACACAAGATCCATCTGATGATGGGTAAAAGTAAAGAGCTCTCTCAAGACCTTCACAACCTTATTGTTGCAAAGCATAATGATGGCATCGGTTACAGAAGAATGTCTAAACTTCTGAAGGTTCCAGTGAGCACTGTTGGGGCCATAATTCAGAAGTGGAAAGAACATTATTTCACCATAAACCGACCACGACCAGGTGCTCCTCGCAAGATTTCTGACAGAGGAGTGAAAAGAATTATCAGAAGAGTTGTCCAAGAGCCAAGGACCACTTGTGGAGAGCTTCAGAAACACCTGGAATTAGCAGGTACGATTGTTTCAAAGAAAACAATAAGTAATGCACTGAACCACCATGGCCTGTATGCACGCTCACCACGCAAGACTCCACTGCTGAAGAAACAGCATGTTGAAGCTCCTTTAAAGTTTGCTGCACAACATTTAAACAAGCCTGTGTAATACTGGGAGAATATAGTCTGGTCAGATGAGACCAACATTGAACTGTTTGGATGCCAGAATACACATCATGTTTGGAGGTCAAATGGCACTGCACATCAGCCCAAAAACACCATACCAACAGTGAAGTTTGGAGGTGGGAACATCATGGTGTGGGGCTGTTTTTCAGCATATGGTACTGGCAAACTTCAAATAATTGAAGGAAGGATGAATGGAAAAATGTACAGAGACATTCTTGATAAAAATCTGCTTCCATCTACCAGGATGATGAAGATGAAACGTGGCTGGACATTTCAGCAAGACAATGAGCCCAAACACAAAGCCAAGGAAACTCTCAGTTGGTTTCAGAGAAAGAAACTAAAGCTGCTGGAATGGCCCAGCCAATCACCTGACCTGAATCCAACAGAAAATCTATGGAAAGAACTAAAGATCAGAGTTCATAGAAGAGGTCCACGAAACCTTCAAGATTTGAAGACTGTTTGTGTGGAAGAATGGGCCAAAATCACACCTGAGCAATGCATGCCACTAGTTTCTCCATACAGGAGGCGTCTTGAAGCTGTCATTGACAACAAAGGCTTTTGTACAAAGTATTAAATTTCAGTAAGTGTGTTCAATACTTTTTTCCCTGTGTCATTCCACATTATTACAAATAACTTCATTTTTGGACATTTATGGTTTGATTTTTTTGTATGTATGGATCACTTGGGTTGTTACCGACATCTGGTGAAAATTTCATGTCATTAGCACCTCTAGTAATATATTTACTGAGAAAAATGGTGACATGTGCATTACTTATTTTACCCGCTGTATTTGGTCTGCATTATAATTGATTTGATGTAGTTCTCAAGTTGTAACATCCAGCAATGATGGCTCCTGACATTTCATTGCTGCATTTCAAAAGGAAAAAAAAGTCAAAATTAGATTGTTTTCAGTGTTTTGGGACAAATGCTGATGTAACCAAAAAGTCTAAAAGTAATAAGACAATCTGGCATTTCTACTCCAAAGATCCTAACTGCTGAGTTGGACTACCTGTGTGTGTAAATTACCTCTGTTGCAGCCCCCTGTGAGCCGGGCCTGTGTGGGGATGGATTAATCTTCCCAGCACATTATTTAATGTGTTCCCTTGCTTGAAAACAGCCAATAAATTGTGCTTGTCACTGTGGCTGTGCAGCTGCTCTCCATAGCTTTAGAATTACTAACAACGCATCGCATTTCTGAACAGAACACTGTGAAAGGCTGTTTTAAAACAAGCCGTAACTCTGGTTAGGGAGTATTAGAGGATAATTTGAGGGGTGCATTTCTGACTAAATGTGTGTAAATAAAAAGTCCTTTCTTACACTGATAGCTTAAACTGCTGTAGCAGAGAAACCCCCTGATGCTTCTTTTCTGTCCATCCATTTTCTTGACCTTTGCTTCTTCTTTTTTGTTCGCAGGGAGCTTGTGTCTATCTCCAGAAAGAGGCGAGAGGTCCCAGATCCATCACAGGGTGGATTGTTCATTTTTATCAAAAAAAAAAAGCAGTGTACTGTTGCACTGGTTTGTAGTTTCAAACAGCATTTCACAATACTGTAAGAGTAATAAGTGTTTCTTTGAACAGTATGTAACTTTGAAATGCTGGGTACTAATGGATAGAAGTGTATAACAAACTAAATAACTAAGTAAAAGTAAAAATACCTTAACTGAAAATGACTTTGGTACAAATAAATTTCACTAATGAAGTGTCAAACTGTTCACAAAAATCGGAAAAGAAAAAGTTTTACACTTTCTCTGAGAAATAAACTGTTGAATTTATTTAACCAAACTAGTTCCACTTAAACCACATTGAGTAGAATTGAGCAATACATACAATATAATTATAATGTTTCATAGTTACTCTGCTAGGTTTAGTGGAACCACTTGATTTTGTTGAGTAAATTCAACACTTAATTTTTAGAGCGCATAAACAACTCCTTTCATGATGAGTTCGAACATATTTAATTTTATTACATTTTAAATTAAAGAAGTAAAAGTATCACTTTTAGAGTTTAAATGTAAAAGTAAAATTTTAATTAAATGCTTGGTAAAATTACAAATCCGCAAAACATTACTTAAGTAAATGTACTTAGTAACTATAAACCCCTGCTAATGGATTAATTAAATGTGCATTTTTTTATTTGTTGTGAGCAGAACTTTGTTTCTGATTGTTGCTTTAAATGTTTTAAATAATCTCAGTGAGAAACTACTTTCTGAAACAGGCTATTCTAGTTTAACTTTCCTCCTGTAAACAGTGGTCATGACATATTGATGTGCAAATACACTGTAAAAAAAAAACATGAACAGAGAGAACCTGAATCAGGAAACTGATCCAGTACTCAGCCACAAATGTTTCTCACACATAAAGTTTATCACAGCGTTATGGTCCATCCTGTCCAAACGAACAAAAAATACCCCAAATCCTTTTGTTCTCAATGTTTATAGTGAAGCTGGTCACACCCCAGATATGATGTCATAGTAAACATGGAATTAAAACATCCATCTATTATCTATACCTGCTTCTTCCTTTCAGGGTCCTGGGGGGTCACTGGTGCCCATATCCATCAGTCACAGTGTGAGGGGTGGTACACCCTGGACAGGTTGCAAGTCCGTCACAGGGCCAGAATTAAAACAGGTTCCACATTTTCTTGTGTTTCCACTGCTGGAGCGAGACACATTAAGTATAAATTGGTTGATTCTCTTACTGTTTAAAATAAACAATTAATCGATCACAAAATCTTAAATAAATACCTGAAATTAGTCACAAAATCTCTTACAGCGCTGTTCGGCTGACGGCTACAGCAGTTCACAAAGCCAGGAGGCTCAATCTGTTGCTCTTAAATGCATCTTCATATAAAATAAATCGCATCTCAAAACGGAAACAACAAAATGAAAGCAAACATTAGATACTCTGCATGGATACATAACATTTTTATCATGTTAAAACTCTGAAAACTTAATTAAACTTACTAAATAAGTTTCATTGTTTAGTTTCTCCATGTCATACAATTTAATGAAGAAATTTATCTTAGTTATTCATGTGAAAAATCATTCAGTAAGACATGAATGTATTTCCTGTTTAACCTTTAGGGGGCGCTTTCACACTTGCCTTCACTTGTTTCCAGCACAAGCCCCCCTTTCATCTTTATTCATGTCTTTTGTTTTAATCTCCACCTTTAAAAGGTCATGCTCAGTATATGTTCATTACTTTTCTTTGTTTTGTCACATGAGTTGTAAATGGTTTGCTGGCTTCAGACATCAATGATTTGTTTGCTTCATCACAGAGTCCCTGATTTATTTTTATTTATTTATTTATTTTCCTGAACAAGAGCATCAGCATCAGTTGTCAATTGATCTCCACCACGTCTCCCACTTCATCCTCCCTCTCGTCATTCTTTGTCGCTTTGTTTTCACTCGCTCACTTCTCACTGCACCCTGGCTTCCTGCACCCACCTCCACCCACTCCGTCTCTCTTCAGTTTGGCTTTGTTCGTGCAGTTTCCTCCCCAGAGGTGCAGAGCTGAGTCCTATAATTACCCAAGTGTCTGTGAAATGAATCATTGGGCGACTGATTGAGCTGCATGAGGGGAAGCATCCATCCTGAGTCGTTTGACTGAGTGTTCTCAGCCCTCTGCTCCATCCTTCTGCTGATGCCCAGGGCTGGCATGTGTGCATGCCCGGTGCCACTGCTGGGGGGAGACGGGGTGTGGTCTGCAAATACCATGCACCGTTGAAACCATAACAACAAGACAACAAACAGGAAAGTGGAGAAATTAGGAAAATTCTAACAAAACCCAGATTACTGCTCTGGCATTGCATTCATTTTATTTATTTATTTTTTGTGTGTTTCAGTTTAACACTGCAAGTCGTACTCCAGGTTTTAATGATTGCTTTGGAGGCTTCGCTACACTACTGTGCTTCTGTAAATTATGACCTTATTAAAGCTTGAATCTTGGCACAGTTTTACTGAAAGATGAGTTTAAGCGATGCACTCACTCGCTACTAATGTATGTAGAGAAAGTTATATTGTCTGAAAACACAAAAGCAGACTTGTGCATTATTTAGGAGTAAAACGTATGACAACGTCCAGCAGACGGTTTTATTTTGGAACCATGATGTAAACATTTGATGGTTATGCATGCATGCGGCACTCCAAACCTATTCCATTAAATACACAAATACAATAGCTAAACCTGAATAGACATATTTTTCAACGAATAATTTCACTTAAAATAATTGAATAAAGAAAAATGGCATTAAATATAGGGAGTTTTGTGCATGTGTTAATAAAATCTAGCAATGCACAGTTGCAGAAGTGACATGATGGCACTTAGTTTCAACCATTTCAACTTATGTCAGCATGAGGTTCCATTCTAAAAATAGCTTTTTTTATTTTTATTTTTTGCTCAGCAATGATTTGTAGAGGAGCAAAACAGTCCTGGTTTAAAGGAGAGGATAAGCAGTGAGACCAGATGTCCTTTTTAAGGCAGGGACTTCCAGACTTTTCCGTGACAAGCATCCCCCCTCCCATTAAAATAAAAAAAACTCAAATTTTCAAAAAAAAAAAAAAAAAAAAAAAATTAAAAAAAAAAAAAAAAAAAAAAAAGGAAATTCTGAGCTCCAAAAGTCATAAATTTGCAAGAAAAAAATACTCAGAATTTCTAATAGTAATTTCAGATTGTTTTGTGAAATCTTTTGAGAAAACAGGGAATTCTCTAATGTAGAAAAGTTGTAAGTTTGTGTGGAAGAAAACACACAAATTTCCACAATTTTATAAACAAAACTTTTCGACATTTAAACTAAATATTTTCTGACATGGTAAAGTCAGATGTTTACAAGAAAAAAAAACTTGTAAATTTATGAGAAAAACTCTGAAGTTTTCAGGAATGGCTAAAGGGTGAATCCACCTGCTTTCACCATGAGCATCTTTAATCTGCTCTAGTTTAAAAATTAAAACATGTAGAGACTTCAAACCTGGACTAGAGTATTCTACACCAATTGTAGCGTATTTAAAACCAAGTGCGTGATTTCTGAAACATATATTTGATTTGTGAAACTTCAATCTGATTCGATTTCAGCCTTTTTCATGCATTTTATGAACAAATTGAGCATGACCAGATTAATTTATTTTTATTATACCCTCCTGTTTTCTAAGGCCCAGTAGTGCCCCCTGGTGGCCCTGGAGCCCCCACTTTAAAAACCCACTGCTAAAACCCACAAGCTGCTTGTCACACCCTTTGCTGTCACTTGCATAAATCTAACGGCATAAAAAACTGTTTTCAGCTGCTTCATCCTAAGAAGCCCCCTCGAGGCGGTTGCACCTTAGCACACCTGCACATGGAGAACAGAGACAATCAGTGGGATTTGTGTTGGGAGTAGATGAGACCAGAATGAAGGTGTTGAGACTGCAGACACACCTGCAATCAGACAGAACCCACTCACCTCTGCTGCTGTGAAAGTGTCTCCACCAACATGCAGCCGACACTCGTTCGGCTCTCACTCCAAACTCTGTTTCACTCGAAAACTTTCCTCTCAGACTTACTACAGCCCCCCCCCCCCCCACCTGCAGTTACTTCTCCTCCTTCAAGCCAACTTTCTTCTAAAGGCTCAGGATTTGTCTGCGAGATGCTTTCAGTTTTGCTTGTCTGACTTCAGACGATGGAAAAGATTCAGTAGACTCAGCTGTACATCCCAGGTTCTCCTCAAACATAAAGGTGATGGAGAGTCATCATTTTTTATGGTTTACTTGGATGCAAAATTAAATTTAAAAAGATTCACGAAGGAAAAGTTGATGCAGTTTATTTTATTTGGACAGAATTTTGAAGTGCAGCAAAAATAAATGAATAAAAAGTTGAGATGTAGTTCAGAATTGAACTTTCTCACTCAGAAAATGTGGACATACAAGTTTTATTAAACCAGGCATAAGAGAGAGCTTAAGTTTTCTTGAATGTGCCTTTGGAAACTTTTTTTCTTTTTCTTGAAATATGAACTTCACACTTGGGGCGGGACACAAATGTGTTAACACTGCACACGTAATCACAGCTGCAGCCTTAAAATAACTGGCAAAAGTTTGGGTTTCTGTGTCTGTGCAAGCAACATCGTCCTCCATAACTGAGAGTGACAGTCCTGCTTCCATCAGCTCGTCGCCATTCACTGTTCTCTTAAAAATCAGAGAAACAATCCTCATATGGAAAGTGAGAATATGATTTTTATATTATAGATATTTTTAATCTCCTTTGCTGAAAAGAGTTGTTGTGAACCTCCAGCTCACAACCAACACTTTTAAAAGTGTCTTGAAGCAGAGTCGCCACGAGTGATGTTTATTTTTCTGATCAAACACATCTGACTGACATGAGCGTGCACAAATGCTGAAATATTTTTGACTTTACCTCCTTTTTTACACACCGCTGAATGACAAAAATGACAGGGAGGAAAACATGCAGCAGTCATTAAGACTGCTAAAGGCAGGTGACTTGTTATCAGCAAATGTTTTCACA